TCCGCAATGGCTTGCTTGACGCCCGCATCGGCAGATGTAGGATCCAGCACTTCAGATTTTGAGACACCCAAACGCGCCGCAACGGAGGCGTTGACTGCGTCCTGGCTCATGTACAGTGAATTCCAGTTGAAAACGCTTGTTGATGCCTCAGCTTTTTTGCGTATCAAGTTTTGTTTCTTCAGGGGTAATTTTGACATTCCAAACTCGTCCTGAAGCTTTTTGGCTTCGGCAGGAATGATGTGCAATATGCGCCCCTGAAAAGTTACCCCATCGAGAGCTTGGAATGCTTTCACAGCATCGGATGAATCGTCGTAGAGCACCAACGCAAATCCCTTGCGAACTCCAGAAGCATTGGTCGGCAAATGTACCTGACTAAGTTAGCCATCTGTCCAGGAATACAAAGACCACAAAAAACATCTTTTGAAATATGGACAGGAGGTCAGAAGATCGAAGCATCTACTAAAATAATCGCCCAGGTTCTCATCACATGCAGAAGCATAAGATGTCCCTATCTTGGGGTTCATCACGTTGCCTGTTTTTTTCCATTTTTTTCACGCGAAAGGTCATGGGGGTTAGGTCGTCTTACCTCTTGTAAAGTGCCAAACTCTCCAAACTTCTGATGGAGGTCTTCTTCCGTGGCAGTATAGGGAAGGTTTCGGACAAAAAGCCGGGATGTCCGCGAAATAGTGGCAATCGCATCATCTGCAGCAGTAGAGTTTGCTCCCTGATCGTTTGCTTGGTCCGGGGCATCTTCCATAACAACTTCATGGGAGGAATGCGTGGTGTCATTGTTCTCTCCGTCATCTCGCACGGCCGAATCAACAGCTCGTTGTTCAGCAGGCTGGGGAAGGTCGTCAGGGTCAACCAGATCTAACAGTCGGTTTGTCCGTGACCTTAGCCAGTCGTCATCTGTCGCATCAACCGACGTTTGAGGGGCTTCCTCGGCTTCTTGGGGTTTCACACTGTCGGCTTCCGCCACAGGTTGGACGCTCTGATCTGAAGTCGCCTCCCTTGGTACTCGTTGGTTCATCACCAGATTTTGATTCGCCTCAGACGATTGTGTCTTGTGAGGCTTCTCCTGTCTCTTGGGGATTTGTTCATATTCGTTATCACTCTCGCCCTCTTCAACAAGCGCCCCTCCACCTGTGGCAAGCCCGGTCATGTCGGCGTCAGGGTTTGTTTCATCCGCAAGGACACCCCCCTTGCCCTGCTTCATCACGCGGAGAAACTCTCGCAGCTTGGGATCGGATTCATCTAGATCCTCTCGTTTCCGCTTCTTAGAATCACCCTCCTCCTTCAGATGGGGACGAAGATTGGTCGCCACATGCGCATCGGAATGAACTGATCGCTGGCTTTTACCAAGGGCTGGGTCTGAGATCTATCATTCCATTAGAACAGGCTGGGTCCAAGTTGTTTACAGGTCGTGGGCGACATCATGGGTTGTACTTACAGGCTTGGCTGGCTCGACGGATATCTTAGACATACGAATGTATGACTTGTTGAAGTACTTGACGGCCCCTTGAGCATCTTCAGGTGTTTTGTAGCCGACATAGCCGATGCGCCTCTGAGGGATCAGCTTGACATCGGTGATCTCGCGATTCTTGGCTGAGAAATGCTTCCGAACATCCGCCTCTGTAATGTTGGGCGGAAGGCCTTTTACAAAAATTCTGGATGTCTCCATGATTGCAATGTGCCTGGATTGTACGGAAGCAATAGCCCAATTGTCAGCCTGCAGGCATGCTTGATGATGAATCTGGTGTGTTGAAGATTTACATTTGGAGGGACGAAGAAAAAAATTAGAAAAAAAATTAGTCGGTGATATTTACTGTGGTTGGATAGTGGGGCAGCGAGAAATTTATGTGGTCCGTGCGTTCTGTCGCGTATACGCTTCAAGTGCGGCGCGATCTCTTACCCTACATCTCATGCAGTGATCGAAGTGAATTTGCGCACAAACAATATTGTACCAAATTATCATTGAATCCATGATGTCTCAATATCGATGAATTTTTAGTCAATTACACAGTCGCTGGAACAACTATATTTATTGACAATAAGCGCCAAAGGAGACAAAAAAAGACTGCATTCTACAGCTATTTCATCTACCTACTCACATTTGCCACAGACGCATGTGGCTATCCATGTAAAGCATCCACGATAATAAGGGAAGGGGAGGGGGGGGGGGAATCGTTGTGTATTAAATGGGGCCTACAAAAAAGAATGCCTCTAGCCAAGTATATAGCATTTTATATGGGTTGAATGAGGCAATATTCTACTCGCTGGTCTTCTTCGTCGCCAGTCAGTCATTTTAACAGAAGACTTGGACACAAGTGAAAATTCATTAGATGAAGTGAACATGCAGGAATACTTAAGGGCTTCTCATCGGGAAAAACATAACAAATGCAGACGCTGCCGCTTGGGTTTCTACTAGCTCGCCGTGTACAGCCTACGTAGAGTAATATCGCCAGATTAGAAAAGGTGTGAACTGATGGCAAATATTGAAGAGATGGGCTTCATTCTGTGTCCCTATTGTGACATTCTAAAAGCTGCCCAAAAACCTTAGGTGAAGTGAAGCATATCGAGTATTTATCGGTCAACTGTTCACGCTCATGCTCCAAGCACCTTGCGAGATTACGCTTCAGCGAGGACCTCGGAGTGTCGATTATGCCTGATGAAACTATAAATCTTGAAGGACTCTTGAAATAGATGACGCTGACACATGATTCAGTCTAGAGTAGAAGACGACTAGAAGTATATGAACGTTATCATTAAAAATTGGAACATCGGATAACCAATGCAACTATAGTCCAATAGCGAAAGTGAACTTGCCAAAGATCAGGAGTTAGAGTGTGATGCTCACCATTGCATTTTGGAGCTATAATTCTTTTCAGTTTGGCTGCGCTCCGTAGTCACCGGTGTCAATAATCGAGAGTCTACTAGCCAGAGGTGAACATACGAGTAGACTGGAGAAAAAATGGCAACGAAATTATCCTTGCTAGTCAACTCGTGGGGGGAAAAAAAGCCTGGTGGCCCAATAATTGCGGCCTGGGTAAATGCAACTTCCATTTATAGGACCTGTAGCTACCATGAATGAGGATATATTTACTTTGTTTTGGTGTGCAATTGGCATTCGTTTGGTGCAATAGTACAAAGTCTTGTGATATAGGGGTGAATCGAACCGTGATCTCTGCCAAACTGCATACATGTAATATCAGCGGCCCTGTTTCCTCTCGTCAAGCGCCAACAAATGATGGATACATACATCTATACATAGATATACCTATGACTAGTAGCTCCTAACTTATTGACAACTCCGCTTAGTCCAACCAAACGCAAGGCCACAGCTCAAGGCCAACGCCAGTCCATCGATCGGACCGCATGAGATTTGCTCCCTCCTCAAGCTGCAACCGGTTTGACGACGGCAAACAATGATGCTGGCGTTCAAGCTGCGCGTCCAAACGTTAAATCAGACTACCACAAGCTCAGGAAATACTTGGACAAACGATTTGACACGATTGAACGATCGCTCGCCGAACTCAAGCAGGACAACACCATCACAAAGGCGACTCTCGATGAGATTAAAAACACATTGGCAACCAATGATCCGTATGCAGATTAGTGCTTCCCCTATCAAAGTATCACGACATCGAGTATCTGTACGATACAATAGGTAGGTAGTAATCCAGACTCAGGGACTTATCAGGCCACTTTGTACTGCCCAGGGCTCCGAAAGGCAATCAAGCACAAAGAATGGTGGTGATCATTCTCATACTAGTCTTAGGCTTGTATACTCGTATTCGAACGTCTATTTTGGGATTTACATATCCGATCGTTTGAGATTGCAGGCTCCCTTATCAACAAACTTCCCTTGACACGAATTTTGACTGTGGATTTGACATGGATACAGCCACGACTAGAGATCATCAAGGAGAATGCACAGCGCTGCCGGCAGCTCTGAACCTGATTATCCAAGCTTACTGGCACAGCTATGACATAAAAAGAAGATTAAAAACTGCAAACTTTTAAGACTCTTGAATCCTTCTATTTGCGCCAACAAATAGCATTCCATTAGCGAGTGTCCATGAATACTCGGTGATCCCAAATGATGCAGCTCCCTCACACACGTCAGCTCCAGGCCAGTACGCATCTTACTACACCTAATTAGTTGTATGTAGTAGATCCCAGTAAGATTGCTAGATAATACTTTGGCATAAGAACCCGTTTCTGGCATGAGAAGTGTATAATTGGTGATTGGAGCCATTGCGGAGCCACTTACTACCGTTTATCACTTCGTTGGTATGGTAGTCGTAACTTCTCGTTTGCAGGTCATGAACGTCGCAAGCAGATGTAGATGTTATCGCGGGCCTTCTTTCCAGAGATTTTACGGTAGATCTCGTCCAGTCTAGGTAATCACATAATCATTGTCGTTGTTCATCCATCGAAAGCGGCACCTTTTAGACATCTCAAGAGCAATATACGCATGAAATATCTTTCTGAACCCATGAGTGGTATATTAGGAAAATTGCGCATAAATAATTAAAGTCGTAAATAATGTCTATTCTCTATTTACCAGTATCGCAGCTCACATGTACTTTATCTTTTGCTTTCTTCCAGCACCTTCTCGCGAGTAGAGTCGCCTTGATGTGGTCTATCTCAGCCTAGCGTTCGGTCCAGCCTGTTGGAGATTTGCACAGATGCGTTGCACATAATGATAAAGAGAAATGTATTCTGCATCGGGATTCTCTTTTGATCCTCCGTTATACAAACGACTGCTCATCTATAGGCAATCAGCCTTTATGTAAATGCTGGGTCATGAATTCATGAAAATATTGATAGCGGTAGTGCCAGAGCAAGCTCCTTGGCTCTAGCCCCGCGAATGGGCCTGGACGCGGCATGGCAGCCCCTGGCTCGTGCGTCCCGATGCTTAGCCTCCAGCGTCTCTGGTTCGCCAGGCACCTCCAACCTGCATATGCACCTTGAAAGCTCGACGTGTTAAGGGGACGCGGAACCTCAGCCCTGTGCAAACTGCGACTATTTTGCCCCGACGACCGTCTTCACCTTCTTCAATTCGATACCTGCCTTGGCCTATCTGTCCAAGCGTGGTGACAATCTACGAGTCAAGCCTAATACGCCACCGATCTTGAGGGTAGGTCCCCCGTGCTCCGCAAAGCCCGTCTGGAAGGGGCGAACAGAATTCGCAAGAGGCGGCTGGCCGCGCTCGTCCCTGAGCTTCCGCGGCAGCAGTCATACGACATTTGCTAACGAACCCTCTTGCGCCTCTTGCGACAAGTAGCGGAACTACGTTGAACCCATCATCAGACGATCGAATACCCGTTTACCAGCAGGAAACTATGGCGGACGCTATCGCAGACAGACCGGCAGATGCCGTAAACGTGAGGGAGAAGCTGGAGGGTAGGCTTCAACCATGTCAACAGATAAGATGGGAGCTCAGCTAACGGATGGTGCTATTGCAGCGCAGATCAAGTCCGCGGATATGGTGAGGTTCACCTGGCAGAACGCCCACGAAACGACCCAGCTAACACGAGCGAAAGACGGAAGATATGCAGCAGGAGTGTGTAGAAGTTGGTATGTTGGAACCCGACAACTGTTCAACGGATGGCAAATGGAGTTTGGAAGGAGAAGAGAGGCTGACGTTGGTATACTATAGCTCAGGAAGCCATGTCGAGATTTACCATTGAGAAGGTAACCTTCATACTTCTTGGATGCCTATACTGCTATGGAAATCGAGGGCTAACTCCATATGACAGGACATTGCACAGCATATCAAGCGAACAGTCAGCCAGCCTCCTCGAACTCATTGTTTGCAACTAAACGAGCTTGAACTAACCACGTATAACAAATAGATGGACGAGCGAAAAGGCCCGACTTGGCACTGCATTGTTGGCCGTAACTTCGGCAGCTTTGTAACCCACGGTACGTTGAAAGCTGGAACATATCCATATATTCACTTGCCTACTTGGAGATTGATTCACCGAGCCAATATCAGCTGAGCAACCAGATCAGTCGGCTAATCATATGACATTTACAGAGACCAAGCACTTCATATACTTTTACCTCGGCCACTGCGCTATCCTGCTCTTCAAGACGCAGTAATAATGACAAGAAATTATGGAGTAGATAGAATATGGCATGGGCAAGTTGCGGTAGTCCCTATGGAGGCACAGGAGGCGTCATACTCATGATCGTGGAGGGCGTGTTGGTGTACGTTTTTGCGGCTTCATCTTCTAAATTTGAATTATTTATTATTGGGAGACTTTTTGTTACAAACAGAGATGATAAGTTTCGTCATTGAGCGAGAAAAGAAAAGGGGAATAAACTCTGGTGCTTTGCTATATAAGCCTAAGCCCTTTGACCAAGTGCATCCAATCCTACGCTATTAACCTACCAGGGAGGTGTAATTGAGGTCTCAATCGAACCAAAGTCCGGAAAAGGTAGAAAAGAGGGAGCCGCGATTTGCCTAGCAGTAGCAGAAAAAGCTCCCTCGGCGAACAAGCCATCCGGACGAAACACTTCAGCAGCACCAGCAGCAGCCCCCAAATGCATGTCTCAGAATACGTACTTGCATAAGACGTCTCAGACAGCCCCTCGCAAGCCTCTACACTCGAGGTACTCTTTGGTTGCAAACACCCCTCATTTTTTGCCCCTCGCCGGTTTCTATCAGCATGTGAAGGATTCTCGCAGATTCCGTCGTGTTTGCCTTTTTTTCCCACATGCACGCCGATGCGATTGGCGAAATCTGTGACCTGTTTGGAGAAACCCTCCATTCCTCTCTAATATGCCGTGCCACCTGAACTGGGTGCATCAGTACTGGCCGCTTACCTTGGCGGGATGGCCAGAAAACTAAATAAAAAAAGACATGAGGCAGCAAAGACAGCAGCTAGGCTTGTTTTCAGACGTCATAGGTAGTTGGTACACGCAGGTAGAAGTGACACAATCGAAGCCCAAAAACTCAACTCCTAGCCCGGAGACTTTTCAAACCCTTTCTGCCCTTTCTTCCCCTTGCAACTCCCACCCAATCCGCGGCAGAGGATGCGAATCTCGCCGACTCTTCGGTGTCGAATCAAAAAGCAAACTTGGCCGTCTTTGCCTATTTTGATGTGTCAATCCACTATTCCAGGGGTGGGATAGAGCTATTTGCGATATATAAGTGTTAGCCATGCGGTGAAATGTCACTGTTAATTAACAGGCAAAAGACAGCAACGAACCAGGCCATAATTAGTAGAACAAGCAGCGCGCACTAGGCGACCAAAGCCACCTGCAGCTAGCCCCCCAGCTGTTCAGCAACGCCAACATTGTCAACTCCCCAATTTAGGCCCATATCGCGCCTTGGCCGGCTCAAATAGCCCATTTTCAAATGTTTGCTCGCATAATGAATGCCCTATTCAACAGCCGAAAAGAGGGAAAAAGGAAGACAATAGTATTTTCCGTTGGGTCCCAACTCAAACTCGATTCACTCTCCCGTTTCAAATTTCATCTAGAAAAGTATGGCTGGGAGTTTTGGTCCCGACTTAGTCGAAATGTTCCTTTTTTGCTTGCCCGTTCTTCCCACCCCGCAATATTTTCGCCACGTTGGTACCACGGGGACCGAATTCAAAACTATTTGGCTTAGTAGCCCATCTTCAGAGGCCTGTGGCTTGCGTAGCGAATTGAGGGACAGAAAAAAGGTGGTTGGCTGAAAACTTGGCGAGGAAAAGTGAAGAGACGGCCCCCAAGGAAATTGCTCTTGTGCTTCGCGGGGTCAGCCAAGATGGATTGGGGTTAAGAAAGCTGTCGGGCAATCCAATAGCGGACAACGGCGGTTTTTGCCTGCTTACAGTATGTTGTGCCCTTTCTTTGCTCGTCTGGCTGCTACAGCTTGGTATTCTCCGTGTAGTCTTCTAAGGGTCATATCAGAGCCATGGGGGGGCCCTTTTGATTTATCAATGGGTCGAGTCAGCCAGCATTTGCACGATATAACGCCTACAAGTATACGGAGCCGTTCCCCTCCGCCAAGCAACAGCCGGCATCCAATGCTTTTCTTCTCTCCTTCTCTTTTCTGCTGAGCCGAACTACTACCTAGCTATCTCTCATGACAAAGACTGCTCGGCAAAAGGTAGCACACCAAGCGGTGGCAGGAGGATGATTTAACAGTCGGACCTAAGCTAGCCGTGGATCGTTGTACACACGCCCCCCCCATCCTTTCAGTTCTGGATGATCTGACCCCGGGTCATGCAATCAGCCTTGGACCCTCAGAAGAAGCAAAAAGGGCACGCATCCATGTTGGCTTGCTCTAGCTGTTTATACAATTGGTCGCGCGCAGCGGGAAACGGTGCCATGCTTTTTCGCTCAGGAGGAGCTATTACTGTAGGAGAAACGCCTCTTTTTGACTTCTAATCCGTGCCAGACGCTCGCTTTTCCGGGCCATTAATATCTCGCCGGAGCGAACAGGGAGGGGAAGAAAGGCCCGAGGACAGAAGGGGAGAAGTAAAACAGCCAGAACGGGCTCAATCGGTTCAATCTGATAAAAGTCTCGGGTGGTGATTTAAAGACAGATACACACGGAGTACATTACGTTCAGCAAGAGTGCTCAGAAGCAGAAATGCCACAACCAGGCCTCTCTTCCCAAGAATGCAACTCATCCTACTTTACTGCGGGGCCTTTGCCCAAGGCAAAACGCCAAAAGTGGCTCCATCAAACCGGCAGCAACGTCGACTCACTCGCCGAAGGAGGAACAAAAATACATACAAGTACTGTACTGTAGGACAGGAATAATCCCTGCAGATGCTCAATTAAACGTTTCATAGGTAACGTCTTAATTGCCCAAACTGCGGAAAACCCGGAGTTGCGCTTTAAACAGGCAGCAGAGCGTGGGTTTGTCTACTTTTCTCTCTCTCTCTCTCTCTCTCGCTTTTCTTTATACACTCCCTCTGCTTCTCGTCCAAAAAAAAAAACTGGCGGGATGACACAATCAGGGTCCACTATATGCCGCCGGCTCCCCGAGAGGAAGAGAAGAAAAAGTTGACCAAGCCAGAAATGAGCTACCCCGGCGGGACAGCAAAAGAATCCGTTGGAAGAGGACAAGTAAGGCAAGCTACTAAGCCCTGATTACAGATCATCTGATGTATGTACATACAGGTATAGGTCCGGAGCACGGAGCAGCTACGGATTTCGTCGCGGAAAAAGAAGCGCCATGCAATGGTACATACACGTCTAGCTGCGATGCTACGCAAGTGCAGGTACTGCTAGGAATCCATTTCGAACGGTGTAGGTACAGTACCGGAGCAAGTCATGAGTGCAATACGCGGGGGGTTCAGAGACAAGAAACACTTTGCGGATAATGCCGAGATCGCTTGATCACCCATCACCACGGGGACCAATAGAATGGGACCAGGGCGTGGCCAGGCATAGCGGGCAACGATATTACATCACCATCTGCCGGGTCGGTATGCACTTATGTGTGTTGGTTGGGAGCTGCAGCAGCCAGCACCTGGGGATGCGCTACTCTCTTGCTAGGTGATTTCCTTAGCTTGTACCGATCTTGGTGTTTGTTGGCCGTGATATTAGACAACAATCTCCTTTTGAGTTTGTACTAAAAGTAGGTACGCGGAGGGCATCAAGAACTCAAAAAAAAAGAGAACGCTGCAAAAGACAAAACCAAAAGAGCCATTTTGAAGAAAATTTTTATTCAGCGGGTAAAATAGCAGCAGCTAGTCGTTCCGGCAAAATTGATAAACGGCCGACCTGCATCGACCTACATTATACCCTTGGAGAAAAGTAGAGTGGTGGTAGCAGCAGCAGCAGCAGCAGCAGCAGCAGTAGCTTGCAGGCGTCGGCGTCATTGCAAGCACAGAAATTTCCAATAGATTTCCGCACTAGACGTGCATTAGGAAGCGGGAATCGGAATACGACTACGCCGAACAGCAGGTAAAATACATGTATGTACCTAGTACTAGAAGCAGCATTGTGTGGGAAATGCAGTCAAGTGCATGAGCGTGTAAGAAATATACTTGCGTGATGTGATGTGTTGACAAAGGACTTGAAACCCGAGGCGAGGTTAAGGAAAAGCGAGGCCGTATAAACGAGGAGAGACTGACCGACATGACAGTGCAGTGCAGTAATACGAAGCGAGGCTATGCAGTGCTACATAAAAGAGAGACGTGATAAAACAGAGCAGAGAGAAAAGAACCGGTCAAGGGAGCCCTGAGGTATATCCAGCCTGTGCGACATTCGATTGTTTCGAATCGGAAACATGGACAAACAGCCTTCGCTTCGCACAGACGATGTCCTGATGCAAGTAAGTCAGCGGTCCCCTCTGATACTACAACTTCTAGGCCACAGCTGAGCTGGGCTGAGCTGAGCTTCCGCAACGGTTTCTCAACCGAGGGACAAACGTGAATAAGCAGCAGAATATAGGAGTAAGACAAACCCCTCTTCCTCGTGGATGAATCGTACAGGATCTCGTCAGCCAAAGGGTCACATCGGGCCACGCACCGAGCGAGATAGATGCTGCGCCGGGACCTGACCAGGCCTCTCCGCGAGAAAGCCATGGATCCGGACGGGGAGTCAGAGGAGGCAAAAGGATCCCGTCCTCCAAAATTCCTCAGTACCTACCTGTAACAAAGGCCAAGACGTGGCAGCTATACTGGTATAGTTGGCGTATCTTTTTCGAGCGGGTGTTTTGCGGTCTTCTCGAATCAGCACTTCTCGCGGGCTCATGTTGCGAAGAGGTACCTCCAAGAGACAACGCAGAAATCGAGGTACCAGGCCTCGTACCTGCCTTGCTGCCGCATGCTTGCTTGCGAGTGGGCGTGGCGCAGAACGCTATGCCCGATCCGCATGGCTTGCAGCGGCCCTGTCCGCCATGTCCCATCAGCCCTTGGCTTACAAGTACAAGTCCGAGGTACTCTGCGTCCTGTGTGCAAGTACGTGTATCCGCAAAGTACCGACAAGCAATACATTCGACTTGCACTGATCTGATGCTTGCAAGGTCGCCTTGTCGGAGAATTATATCGCATCAAGAGCGTCGAGATAATGGCACTGTCTACTAGGTAGCATGGAGCAGCACTCCATCCGCCATTGGAAACAGGCTGTCAGAAAGAAGAGGAAAAGCCAGAGCCACGACCACGACCACGCCCGCCGCCACAAGGGCCCCCAAACGTTGCTTTGCTGCAATTGAGTGTTGCTTGTCAGCGGCAAGCAGGGCCAAATGTGGAAGCTGGCGATTCGTATCCTGCGGCAGCTACAGACTCCAGCACGTGCCAGCAATTCAGTCGCTAATCGGGCTTGATTTCTTCGCACGTCCGGGAGACAACGCCGGTGATTGGAGAGAAATGGCGAGAATTCCAAATACGGCCGTGCTTGCAATGCAATAGCATACAGCTACCTAGCTAGCTATGTTTCGCATGTCTGCGGGCAGCAAGATTGATGATGGCATTTCGGACAGCGAACCTGGCGGCAGAGACGGCGAACTGCCGCTCAGCTCTGTATGATGAATGCGGTCACTTACGCAAAGAGCTTGCTATCTCCCCGACAAAGGACCCCAACCCGCCGCCGCTT